ACCATTGTTTATTCTAACTTTTATTGCAATATCATTATCGTTATCAATAATAGGGTTATGATTATCACGGTCCCTGTCATTATCATTACAATTATCATATTACAGTGATAATGATAATATTGAGCGGTCAGAATGCCATAGGGAAAAGTCAGGCGACAAATAACCTGGCACTGGCGCCACACGTCGACGAGGTTATGTGCTCGACTCTGAAAGGAATAGATTAGGCGATTTTTCGTGTGTTGCAGTGTGAAATCTTAACAACACTGTCGGATTTCTTGACTAGTTCATTCATTCAGCAATGGTTATGACATGATTAAGAGGTGCTGCCATATAATCACAATGCACTTAAAAAAAAGAAAAGAAAGAAAGAAAACATATCAGTATCCAATAGTCTGTTTAGCACAAATGAAACTACCAAAGAAACCGAAAGAAGCCAGACAATAGTCATCACCATAAATCACTTCGACGCTATGATAAATATAGATTGTAAGATTATAGATGGCTGACAGAGGTTATGTGCAAAAGAAACCAAGGAGATTACCACAGTGGTATAAAGACATTTATTCTATTTCTATTAATTGCTACCACTCAGTGCTGTAGACACTCGTGCTAATTTATTACCAACTAGCACTCACAACTGATGGTGCGTCGTTAAACTCTCAGAAAATAAAACAAATATGCATACACCTGCGAAGCTTACATTTGCAAAATCATGACATCTTATATACACTTCTAAGGGCAATGACCGCACTGCTTCCTTCTGTCTTGGCTTGTAGTGATGAGAAAATAGTATAATCTCTCATATTATTCGTACCCGAAAATTAACTCGCAGATTTTACTCTGAGAAAAGGATGCAGTATTGTCTGCTCTTCGATTTTTCACATGTGACCAGTTTCACTCACCTTAGACAACAGAGGTGTTACCATTATTTGTTTGTTTGCATCTGAGGAAGGGGGCCCTTTCATCCCATGATCCTTTTCGTTTCATGATCCCATTCGTCTTATAATCCTTTTTCTCTATCCCTTTGGTCCTGTGATCCCTTTCATCCTATGATCCCTTCGGACTTAAGATCCATTTCGTTCTGTGGCCTTTTTCCTATCATTTTCGTCCTATGATCCCTTTTATCCTGCGATTCCTTCTGTCATATAATTCCTTTCAGTCTGTTAGATATCACTAGCATCATTCTGTGTTGCTGAGACTGGGCGCAAGTATGTTAAGACTAAACAAGCAAGTGTGTTAAGACTAAATTAGTTCAGAGTGATCCTTGGAATGACTTATTTCTCCAAGTCCGCACATTAGATCGACATATTTACAAATCATACAAAACCCACAGGAAAGAAATTAGGTCGGTACTCCAAGTAGCAAGATGGTTATCGTCTGATTCTTCAGGGCCTAGTTTTCTGGAGACCTAGTTTGGAACCCTCATCAAAACCGTTTTGGGAGCAGTGAGGCGCGCTGGATGATTGTCTTTTGTTTTTATGACCATAAAAGTAAAAGTTGGGAGGGTTCAAACTCACCATCATTAGCTTAAGTACATTTCAGGAGTAGTAGCACTTACACATTATGTAATAATTGTTAGTGTGCAGATCGAGCTGAATTGGTCACTGACCTTACCTCGGTGGCGGGAATGAGAACCAAGGAATTCGCACATTCGCACACTCTCATGCCTAAACTATTCTAAACAAGGAATTAACTGACATACTAAGCTTAGTCGTTCCTGAAGTAACGGCCTTGAGCCCCAAATGAGGCTCACTATGTTTGGATTTTAACTTCTGAAGAATATTTTTTGGCGATTATGATAGCATAGGTTAGTACATTTTATTGTAAAAACATTGAAAATGCAATTTGCTATGAGAAAGCCATCTCGGATTGTGGCTGCCATCTTGGCTTTTAAGAACCCAATGCTCTGACTCTGACAGCTGGACTATTTTCTGGGCAAAGGATATCAGTGATACTAGTTAGGGATGCACTATGCATTTGTTACATCAGATGACTTCCCGAGGTAAGTTACACATCAATCTTTATGCAAAGCCCCAAACACAGTAGATACAATATTCTGACTATCCTGATAAACAAGGAAGTCTTGTCATTCAATAAACTGCCTGAAAAGCAGGTGTCGGTAGCGCTTCATCATGGAAAGATTTGGCAGAGGGTCACGGTGCTAGCTTTGGAAGGAGGACCAAATCAGCGGCCTTTTAGGAAGGGATTCTTGCATTAATTCCACCGGTAGACGATGGAGTACCATCTGCGAATCAAACCTGGAAAAGAAAGGCATCCAAGGGAGCGAATTTACACTGTAGACTAAGAGTACATTGATGCCAAGGGTCGTTAGCCAGATATTCAAACGATTATTACCACACAAATAGGTCGTAATCAAATATATTTAGGTCCACATTATAACTATGACATAATTTATCGAATAAATTCACTACCAGAATGTAGATTAGCTGTAGGGTTGTTGCATACCATCAAGAAATACAGACCTGCCCGACATAGCTTT